ACATACCAACATTAGATTAATACTTATTCCTACTGTTTCACACACACACACATACCAACATTGGATTAATACTTATTCCTACTGTTTCACACACACACACACACATACCAACATTGGATTAATACTTATTCCTACTGTCACACACACACACACATACCAACATTGGATTAATACTTATTCCTACTGTTTCACACACACACACATACCAACATTGGATTAATATACTTATTCCTACTGTTTCACACACACACACATACCAACATTGGATTAATATACTTATTCCTACTGTTTCACACACACACACACACACACACATATATATATATATTTGGTATAGATTTATTTCTATTTCACACACAGATATCAATGTTGTAAATATTGTTTAGGCTTGTATTGTAAATATGTTTAAGCTTGTTAATATTGTAACGCACTATATCATTCAAATAACCTTCAAATTAAACGCCTTTCTTTGCTCTGAACGAGTTTCTACCCCCTTCCACCAATGTGGAAACTTCTGAATAGAAAAGAAATAAAAAAAGAAAGAATTTATTTTTAATTGATGATAACTTATGCAGCCAGTACAATAAAACATTGGTCACTCAACAGAACTACTATTTCAGTATGTAAATGATTCGTGTTTTTGAATTCTCTTACTTACTAAAAACGTACTTCTAGTTATACTAGCGCAGGATTCAAGGTATAACACTAACAGCTTAGCAACATATGCATACAGTAGAATATGACTACAAAACGTTTGTCAATAACACATTGTTGGGCTAACACGTACTTACGTTGCTCTGCCAGGATTAAACAATAAAACCTCGGGGAAACACCCCTCACGCACGTGAGTTAAAAATTCTTAGAATCAATGGTACATAATGCTAATATACATTGCAAAAACAACTGAGGTTATTACAAATATTACAGGGACCATTAATAATATTACAAATTTCCAATAAAAACAGCGAAAAGTATCTTAAGTATGGCTAAAAAAAAAATAAACGTTTTTTTTTTTGCTCTCTCCCTCTGACACATAATGATTGAACTTCTTATGCTTACTCGTTTCTAATAGCTTATTTATCTTGGATATAAATTTATAAATTTAGTCTTAAACTAAATTATTTTGTGAAGGAATGAAATAAGTGTAAATTAAAACGTAAAGTTACAAATATCAAAAGTTAAACAGTTATCAATATATAATTTTGGTGTGTCTACAATTTCAATTTACAATGCACTGGGGCAACATATGTGATATTTAAATTTGAACAGCTCTACCTAAATTAACTTATAAAGAACTTTCACAAATCATTAAAAATAACTAGATCTTTTCCAAAAAATGAGAATTTGAGCATTTTCCCAAGATGCAAAAAAAAAGGGGGGGGCAGCGTGCTGAAGTGACCCGTGTTTTGGACTTGTAGTTAGAAGGTTAGGAGTCCGAGGCTTGTTCGCTTATTGTTTGTCTGGGCCGTATCCCATATTGCTGCGGTCTGCCACGTCGTAAATGTATATCTAGGGATAAACTAAGACGGATTGGCACCCCTTCCAAGTTCCAGGGGTGTGTATTAACACTGAAACAACAGCTCAACATCGAATCCTATGTCCATCTAGGCAAGTGTGCAAGTTAACAAATATGCACGGTAGCTAGTGTTAAGAGTACACGTTTAAACTGAACACACACTGGTAGTTGTGTTTATTTCTTAACGTTTAAGGACTCCATGTAGCAGAACAGAAGTGTATTTAAAAAAGTCACTCCGGTTAATAGGAGATGATAATAGATTTTTAAAGTTAAATCTAAAATAGCAAAACTAGAAGTAACTGTAAAAATTAGATATTTAAATTATTAGGTAGAACAAGAAATTAAAAGATTCCTAAGTAAGGTTGTGGCGATTGGATCTTATCATCATGGTTATACTTGTAGCCTGTACGATTACCTAAGCCTGATTATAAATTGGTAGCTTTTTTATGTCAGTAGATACTAATTACTAACTAGTTACTAATTAATAATTAGACTTGAGTGATCATACATTTTTAAGTTATGTTGATTAAAGAAGTAGCACCAGATATCACCCAAAAACATTAAGTGGATTTCAAATTCAAATGACTCGGAAACTCTAGCGCTTTCGAACAATTCAGTGTTCTTCTAATAGTTTCTAGGCCTTTTTAAAATCAGCAACGTGTAATTAACAAAGTTACGGGTAAAACAGCAAAAATATAATATATTGACTAAGAAATCATTGACTCAGACGGTTCGAAGTATATAAAATTATTCTTACGTGTTGCCATCTTTAGTCGACTGCAGAAACGTTTTGAGAGAACGAAGTACTTTCTTGATTTTTGTAGATGTAAAAACTTATTTGAATGTCGTGAACGTGACCGAGGAAGAAGTGTAAACCACGTCTTTTATTAAAGTCACATCAAATATATAAATACATGAACCGGAAGGAAGTGCGTCACTGTCACGTGCACAAGCTTGATAACGAACTGTTGATCGAGCCTACGCAATAAACGTAGATATCTTAATCGTTTTTTTTTCTTTTTTGTTGTTACAAAAAATATAACTTTTATGTATGGTAATAATAAATATCACCAAAAAGATATTTTGATTTAACATAATGTTTTGGGACAACATGGGATCTGTTGGTCCATCTCGGCTGTTACATCATCTAAACTAAAATAATTAAACATCTTAAAGCCACCCTTATCATTCATATACTTATCAAGCTTTTTTAAAACTCACTTAAGTTTACTGCCTCTACAACATCCGAAAGCAACCCATTCCAAAGACCAACCACCCTGTTAGAAAAATGAAACTACTTTAGCTGAAGATGACTCACACCTTGCCAAAATTAATATTTGTGTCCTCTAGTTCTACTATTCGCACTGTTAGATATGAAAAAAGGTGATACATCAACACTATAAATTCCCTTTACAATCTTAAACACCTCAATCAGATCCCCTCTAAGTCTT